TGAGTTTTATGTTAGCTGTGGGTTTATGTATAGCCTTTATAATGCTGAACTATGTTCCCTTTAAACTTTGAGAGTTTTTGTTTATCATGAATGGCTGTAGAATTTCTGTCAAATCCTTTTTCTGCATTTTTTGAAATGGTCATATTACTTTTATCCTTCATTTGGTTAATGTGGTTGATTTATGGATATTGAACCATCTTTACATCCCTGAAATAACACTTGATTGTGGTAAATGATCCTTTTTATGCATTGAATTCAGTTTGCTGATTTTTCTTTGAGCATTTTTGCATCTATGTTCATCAGGGATATTGATCTTTTTTTTTTTTTTTTTCTTTTTGTAATGTAACTCTGTACCCATTACACTATAGTTCCCTAAGTCCCCCTTCCTCATCCCCTGGTAACTACCAATTTATTTTCTGTCTCTGAATTTGACTACTACATGTATACCATATAAATGAAATCCTACAGTATTTGTCCTTTTGTGTCTGGCTTATTTCACTTAGTGTAATGTCCTCAAGATTCACTCATGCTGTAACTTTTATTAGAATTTCCTTTCTTTTTAAGATTAATATTCCATTGTGTGTATATATCACATTTTGTTTATCCATTTGCCCTTTGATGGATACTTGGATTGCTTCCATCTTGGAGCTATTATGAATAATGCTGCTATGAACATGGGTGTTTTAGTATCTGTTTGAATTCCTACTTTCAATTCTTTTGCATATATCCAGAAGTGAAATTGATGTATCATACTGTATCATATGGTAGTCCAGTTTTAAGTTTTTGGGAAACTGCCATGCTGTTCTCCATAGCAACTGCATTTTACATTTCTACCAATAGTGCACAAGGGTGAGAATTTCTCCACATCCTTTCCAAGACTTTTGAGAATAGCCATGCTGATGCATGTAAGGTGGTAGCTGATTGGGGTTTTGAATTGCATTTCCCTAGTAATTAATAATGCTGAGATTCTTTTCTTGTTTGTTAGCCATTTGCATATCTTCCTTGGAGAAATATCTATTTAATTTCTTATTGTTGAGTTGTAGGAGTTTTTTTTGTATAATTCAGATATCAACTATCAAATATGTGATTTGTAAATAGTTTATTCCATTCTGTGGGTTATTTTTTACTTCATTGGTTATATCTTTTGATGAACAGAAGTTTTTAATTTGATAAAGTGTAATTTATCTATTTTTTTTTCTTTTACTATGTTGTTGGTGTCCTATTCAAGAAACCTCTGCCAGCCAAGTTTAATGTCATGAAAGTTTTTCTTTTTTCCTCCTAGGAATTGTATTGTTTCAATGCTTACATTTTGGATTTTGATATATTTTGAGTTTATTTTTGTATTGGTGTAAGGTAAAGTCTAACTTCATTCTTTTACATTTGAATTTCCAGATTTCTTAATACCATTTGTTGAAGAAATTTTTCTTTCCCCTATTGAATGGTTTTGGCATTTTTGTATATCATTTGATCACACATGAGAAGGTTTATCTCTGTCTACTCTCCTCTATTATTGGTCTGTGTGTCCGTCTTTATGGCAACAAAACACTATTTTGACTGTGATTTTGTAGTAAGTTTTAAAATCACGAAGTGTGGGATCTTCAGCTGTGTTCTTGTTTTTCAAGATTGTTTGGCATTTCTAAGTCCCTTGGGCTATCCTATGACTATTAGGATGGGTTCTCATCTTTCTGAAAAAAATTGGGATTTTTATAGAGATTGTATTGAATTTGTAGATTGCTTTGTGTAGTATTGACATCTTAATATTGTCAATCCATGAATGTGGGCTTTCTTCCCATTTTTCACCTGTTTGAGTATATGCCTAAGTAATGTATTATTTTTTATTCTATTGTAAATGAAATTGTTGTCTTAATTTCCTTGGCAGATTGTCCTTTGGTGTATAGAAACACAACGGACTTTCGTGTTTTCATTTTGTATCCTGCAGCTTTGTTGCAAATAATTATTAAAGGACTAATAAGTAAATTTAACAAAATTGAAGGATTCAAGATTGAGATGCAAAAATCAAGTTTCTTTCTATATGCTAGCAACAATCAAATTTTTTTGAAAAGCAACACCATTTAAAAAATATGAAATATGGCATATGTAAGGATTAATTTGGCAAAAGATTTGTAAGACTTTTACACTGAAAAGTACAGGGTATTGCTGAGATCTATTAAGCAAGATCTAAATAAATGGAGAGACCTACTGTGTTCAGGGGATGGCAGACTCAATCAGTAATGGCAAGATGACAGTTCTTCTCAGATTGATGTATAAGCTTAATACAAACCCAAATCAAATTCCAGCAGAGATGTTGTTTTGTTTTTAGAAATTGGCAAGGTATTTCTAGATTTTAGGTAGGAATTTAAAGGACCTGTACCAAAAAGAACTACAAAATGGCTAATACACTATATGTTTCAAGACTTAGTGTATAAAACTACAGTAATCAAGAGAGCATGTTGCTGCCATACAGGTAGATAAATAAGTACAACAGATCAAGCAGTCTTCCTATGCATATAGAGACAGTTGTCATGTGACAAAAATGCAAAGACAGTTCAGTGGAGAAAATCATTTTTTCCAATAAATGGTGTTGGAACCATGGACTCCCCATATCAATTACCTGAAGTCTTTACATTCCACCACGTTAAAAAAAAACAAAACAAAACAAAAAAAAAAAACTAAAAATGGATTCAAATGTAAAAGCCCATTTGAAAGAGAGAATAAGGAAAAAATCTTTGTGACCTTCCATGAGGCAAAAGTGTTTTAGATATAACTCCAAAGTATAGCCCATAAGAAAACTGATAAATTGAACTTAATCAAAATTAAAAACTCTAGTTTAAAAAAAAAAAACCAAAACACTCTTAAGAGAATTAAGGGGCCAGCCACACACTTGAATAAAGTATTTGGGGTTTTTTTTGTTTGTTTGTTTTTAAAGATTTTATTTATTAGCGAGGGAGTGAGTGGGAGGGAGAGAGAAAGAATCTGAAGCAGACTCCACACTGAGCACAGAGCCCGACCCAGGGCTTGACCCCATGGCCACAAGATCATGACTTGAGCTAAAACCAAGCATCAGGTGCTTAACCAACTGATCCACCCTGGTGCCCCAAAGAAAATATTTATAAAGCATGTATTTGATAAAGTACTTGTACACCAAATATATTAAGTACTCTCAAAATTCAATAACAAAGATACAACCCAATTAAAATATAGACAAAAGGTTTGAACAACTACTTCAAGAAAGATCTAGAGTTGGTAGGTAAGTACTTGTTCAACATCATTAGCTATTACAGAAATATAAATGAAAATTAGGAAATACTACCATACATGTAGCAGAGAGGCTAAAATGAGAAAAACAAACTATACCAGTGTTGGTGAAGATATGGAGGAATGTTATATCCTACTGGTGGTTTTTTAAGGTAAATATGCACGTATCTTAGGGCCTAGCTGTTCCAATCCTAGCTGTCTACCCAAGAGAAGTGACAGCATATGTCCACATAAGTGAATATTTATAGAAGCTTTATTTGTAGTTATCTCAAACTAGAAACAACCTAAGTGTCCATTAGTAGATGAGTGCAAAAACAGATTTTGTTCTATCCATGTGATGGAATACTACTCAAAAATAAAAAGGAATAAACATATATATATATATAACATGAATGAGTCTCCAAATGAAAGAAGCCAGACAAAGTGTACATGTTGCATGATTCCATTCATATAAAGTACTAGAAAATGCAAACTAATTTATAGAGACAGAGTAGATCAAGGGTTGCCCCGAAATATGGGTGCATTAGTTTTTTCATTTGTTTTTTTCATTATGACAACACTTAACCTGAGTTCTACTATCTTAGACATTTTTAAGGGCAGAACATGGTATTGTTAACTGTAGGCACAATGTTAAACAGTGGATCTCGCAAACTTATCTTGCATCTTGCAAAACTTTATACCTGTTGAACAACAGCTCTGTATTTCTCTCTCCAGCACCTTTCACTCACCTTTCCATTCCATTTCTCTTGTTTGATTATTTTAGATACCTCCTATAAACAGAATCCTGCTGTATTTGTCCATTTGCAACTGACTTATTTCATGAATTAAAATATTTTCCAAGTTTATCCATGTTATTGCATACTTCAGGATTTCCTTTTAAAGGTTGAGGAGTATTCATATATATATTATATACACCACATTTTCTCCATTTAGCCACTGATGGATATTTAGATGGTTTCCGTAACTTAACTATTGTAAACAATGCTTCTTTTGGATATATACCCAGAAGTGGGATGCTGGATAACATGATAGTTCTATTTTTAATTTTTTTTTGAGGAATTTGTTTTTCATAGTGCCTATACCATTTTATATTCCTACAAATAATGTGTAAGTGTTCCAGTTTCTCCACATTTTCACCAACACTTGTTACCTTTTTTTTTTTTTTTTTTTTTAATGATATCATACCATATATCCAGTAAGGAGTTAATGTCCGGAATACTTGAGGAACTCCCAAAACTTAATAGCCAAAAATCAGCCCAATTTAAAAAGTGGGCAAAGAAATTAAATATTTATCTGAAGACCTACAAATGGCCAACAGGTATATGAAAAATTGCTCAATATTCACTAGTTATTGGGAAAAGTGTTCTTGTTAAATTCCTCTTTTGATTCTAAGGAAAAGCCAGGCAGAAAATACCACTCTGTAACCCCTTCCTGCTTCCATATAGCTTTAACATGGCCCTCCTGTTCTTTGTATGCCTGACAGAGAAGGGCTCCACAAGTTTGTTTGTTTTTTTTTTTTTTTCCAATAATGTTGTTCTCTGGCAGAGAATCTATGGAAATGGATTCCAAGAGAAGTCTGTCTGCAGGACACTGTAGACAGATCAGAGTGCCACTGTCCTCCAAATCACAGACAAAGGGCACAGAATGGAGGGGGCCAAAAAAAAAAAAAAAGTGAGGCCTGGGCGATGAGGGAGGAAGACAGTGGTGCTGGTGCAGCTCTGTTCATTTGACCTATTTTGTTTTAGGGGCGAATCTGCTTCTGAGGGTGGAAGAAAGCAGGAAACAGGGACGCAGGTAATGGAATAACCTTTCTTGTTTTAAGGCAGTACTTTGTAAATTTCAGTTACTTGCCTGCCATCTTGAAAACTGGTCACCATTCTGGTCTTTATTATCTCTAATTACATGTAAAAGTTATTATGAAATTATTTCACTTTTAAATGGAAAATTGATTCTTTATTAAAAAAAGATTAGCAGAAGTGTTAAAGATCACCCATTATCTGGGATTTATCCTGAATAGAACCAGAAGTGTTCATGAGTTGAAAAGAAATTCTTTTCTTAAAAAACATGGAATGTTTCACAGATTTGCATGTCATCCTTGCACAGAGGCCATGCTAGTCTTCTCTGTATTACTTCAGTTTTAGTAGGTGTGCTGCCAAAGAGCACGGAAAGAAATTAATGAGTCAGTGACATGATTTTGTTCATTCCCGTATGCACCGGCTTATGCCTGTTCCGAGTGTCTCTCACTTTAGGAAGCATGCTGCTCTAAGTCCGTAGTCCATGCATTTTAAAAATTCTATAATGAGTATTAAATGCATTTTTTTTTAAATTGAGATCATGGGCTTTACATGAGTTAAGGATCCTTCTGGCTTGCTTTTAGCGATGGTTCTGACTCTGCTGCTCAGTCTTGAGTTGGAATCCCACCAAAGAAGTGGATGAGACCATTGAAGGCTGGATCCCTTCCCCCCAAAGATTCCAACTTAGTTGATCTAGGGTGATGCTCAGGCCCTGGGATTCTTTTAAAGCCCCCTCTGATGATTCTAACAGGTGGCCAAATTTAAGAGCCACTGCTCTAGATTTTTGTAAGTAACTTTCAACACCTTTTTACATAAACCACAGCAACTAGCAAAGCCTTGCTGCATGGTTTGTTAATTGTATGAATAAAATGAAGTAACATTTGCTCTTTCCAAGACTCTGGGCTGAACTGTGGGACAAATGTGGGGGCTTCCCCCCAAATGTTTCCCCCCCATAAATGTAAAAGGCAATAGGCCTCACTTACAAGTTTCTTCTTAAAAATGACTTTCTCCAGAAAATGTTGAACTGCCAAACATTTTACAGTAGGAGTACTTGGGTCTTCAACAACAAATTCATTTCAAAAATAGATCACTCACCCTCACCCGCCTTGAAAGTTGTGGGTCATGCTGTCCTAAACAAGGGGGGTGGTAGCTTTTATCCTGCTGTAGTGATGGCCTTGGAGATGGCTCTGCAGTTTGCTGTTCCAGGCCCAGGATGTCTCTTCCAGCTTAAATTTCTTATTTGAGAAGACTGAGCTACTGTGTTTGGATTCATAAGAATCCTCTCGGCCTTAGAACGAGAATGAGCTCTTACCAGCTGAACAGTAGGGTTTCTATTGAGGCATTCCTGATTTAAGACTGGGCCCCCTGGAGGGGCACAACAGACAGAGGCCAACTAGAGTATTTTGTGTGTTAAAATCAAAACAAATTCCACATTAAAGCGGAGCCTAAACACTGTTTGTCGCAACACTTCTAAAAACCAACCCAAAGCCAGGAAAAGACTTAAAAGCACATAAAATCCATTAAATCATTGAAGAAATTAAATTTACCTTGATAGTCTAGTCATAATTTCAAAATACTTCAGGTTTAAATAGAAATGATCCCCTTGTTTTATTTTAGTTTCTTTAAAATGTAATCAACGTTGTCATTGCAAAAATTATTTTTATAAATTCTTTTGTCATTTGGGTTAGTATTTTGAAGGTATCATATTCAGGGGCAACAGCGTTTGAAGAATTACCTATGGTCTCTTCAATTGCAACTAATTGATGAGAGAAGATTCTTTTTTCTTTTTTCCTTCTGTCCTCCATTACAACAGCGTGATTGAGAATTGTCTAATGAAATTTTTTTTCCTCTCCTTACCACCATGCCTTTTTATTGTACGAGAACCAATCTTCTAGAAGGAGTTGCTTCTCTTTTGCCTAACATTGTATTGATATATTTAATTGTACATAAACGGAACTAACACCTTTTTAATAGCACTCATTTATCACGTGTGTCTGTAAAAGCTTAATTACAGGAAACACATCTTCTCGGAGAGTAATAAAGATTCAAGTAGTAGCACCAGTGAACGATCTTGGACCAGCAACCAAAAAAAGAAATCCCTAAAACCATATTCTGGTAGAAAAAAGACAAGAATCAGAAACAGCATAAGAGGTAAGTTTGGTATGTGTCTTCTTTCAAGTCATTTTTTTTTCCCCAAGTGAATCTGGTATTTTTTCAGTTATGTGATGGAAGGAGGATACCAAAGAAAAAATGATTATGTGATCCCCTCTTCCCTGCTATAATTCCTGTAGAAAGAGAGAAGGTACATACATTAATCAGTGTAAAAGAATATGGAAAGGACCAATCATTTTAAAATATTAGCTATAGATAAATAGAGTAGTTGTTCAGCTAAGAATCTAACATGAACAGGAAATCACTAGGAAAAGCTTCCAGGAAGAGGCAGGTAGGATTTGAGCCAATCCTTGGGGAAGAACAGTATTCAAAGACATGCGCAGAAGGGAAGCATTCGAAGTGAGGTAAAAGTGCAAGGATAAATTGACACGAGGAAAGCATCAGAGGCAGGGTCTGGAGCAGAGAATTCACACTGGGGTAGGGGCTCAGGAACAAGATAGATAATTAAAAAGGGATTAAGCTTAAGACCTAGACATTTGAGAAGCTTCAGGATTTGGGAATTGCTTCTAGCATGGACCTGTATACTTGGGAAAAGGAGAAATGATTTTTTTTTTCCCTCATAAGCAAACTTATCCTTTGTGCACTTCTTTTTCTTTTAGTTTTGCCATTTTCCCCTCCCAGCAGTGGCAGTGACCATGAGAAAGACCAAGTAAGTAAATTTTAGCTGGACTGCCATGTGGCCATTAGCGTTAGCATGAAACAGGTTAATCTGTTTAGGGTTAAATTTCATTTGTTTCTCAAAAAAAGAAATCCTTTCAGGATTATGAGGATAACAAACCAGTTTGTTGGTACATAAATCATTGTCAAAAGAAACTGCAAGGACTTGTTAACATTTAGTATAAATGTTGGGTAAAGACTTTGGATCTTTCTTCATTGTTCTCAAATTTTTGCAAGATGTTTACTATAGATGATGCTGAAATCTGGGCTGTAGTCCTGTAACTGTTTGCTCTTTGAATTTACACTTTAAAGCGAACTTCTTCCCTTAGTTTTCAGTTTGCAGACATACTATTTCTAAAGCTTTTAATGGTTTAAACATACAAATCTTTTTGTAAGTGGTTGAAATGACTTCAGGTTTATATAAATATTGAATAAATCCTCAAAGTTTCTGAACTCATTTTGGTTCTCTTTGTTTTAAAGCAACATAACTAAAAATAAGAACGCTGGTGTTGTTCAGACAAATTCAAAGCCAAATATTCCTGTTAATAGCTGAATCCCCCCCTCTCAACAGCTGGTTTTTGTTCCTCGTCAAATGAGATACATAAAGACTACAGATAGAGTGTCTAGTATATGAGTTCTCTAAGGGGGTGGCTGCTGGGATTCTGAGGGCTTCAACAGCACTCTACCCACCCACTCATCCCATGCAGAAATACCATGTGGTTGTACTCCAATTACCGTTCTCTCTCCCCACCTGCCCCCTTCTAATGGTTACCCTCTGTGAATCTGTACTGACGAAGTATATAGTTCCTAGTTTAAACCAGTGAGCCAGAGTAAGGACCTAAATACATGTTGAATACTTTAAACTGGTATGATTTATCAGTTAGAAATAGGTCAAGGGGCACCTGGGTGGCTCAGTGGGTTAAGCCTCTGCCTTCGGCTCAGGTCATGATCTCAGGGTCCTGGGATGGAGACCCACATCGGGCTCTCTGCTCAACAGGGAGCCTGCTTCCCCCCCTCTCTCTGCCTGCCTCTCTGCCTACTTGTGATTTCTCTTTCTCTGTCAAATAAATAAATCTTAAAAAAAAAAAAAAAAAGAAATAGGTCAAAAGACCGATTTAAAGTAAATATAGCTTTTGTTTGAAGTAAGCACCAAACATCAAAGCTTTGTGAATCTATAAATTTAAGCTATGCAACTGACAGGAAGTCTGTTGATTTTTCAGTGAGGGCATTGCTGACTGTACAAATATTAGCATTCAAAATTCACTCCTCTGTGTTGGCATGTAAGAGAATAATTTAGGGCAGGACTCGGCAAAATTGTTCTGTAAAGGGTCAGATAGTAAATAGTGTAAACATTTTAGACTTGTAAGATCATAAATATTTTCCATGGGGACTATTCAGCTCTTCTGTTGTAGCATGAAAGCAGCCATGGACAATACCTAAGGGAAGGCATGTTGCATTCCAATAAAACTTTATTTATAAGAAGGCCAGTGAACTGTGGTCTGTGGATTCCTGATTTAGAGCAGTGGATCTCAAACCGTAGTGATCATCAGAATGACCATTATGGTGTGTTTCAATACAGATTGCTAGGTTCTGTCCCCATAGTTTCTGGCTAAATATAAGTCATAGATGGGATTCTGGAATTTGCATTTCTGTCAAGTTCCCGGGTACTGCTGAAGCTCTGTTCTGGGGTGGGGTCCTACTTTGAGAACTTTAATTTAGAGTTATTTTTGAGTTAGAATAACGAATCGATAGATGACTTATTGTGTTTTCAACTTTAGGATCTTATGGTCCTAGGGTTTGTTTTCAAATGGTGCAAATCCTATACTTAAACTACTTAAAAGGACATTAGAAATGTATTGAAATTTTTTGAAAACTACTTAAAATGGTTATGAATGTTAACACTCTTAAAAAATACTGTATTTTAGGCTAAACTTCTAACACCATCATGGAAGGAAACCTCCAAGCAGAATAATTCCACACTTCTAAAAATTTCTGTAACAAAATTTCAGGGTAATTCTGACTTTTTAACTCCTGAAGATTCTGCCCAGAAAACAGGTACTTGATTTTCTGTTGATTTACATAGAAAAAAAAATATTTTTTTCAGGAGAAGTAGTTTGAACTAAACAAATTTTCTTTTAACATATGTTGAAGAATGTGTGAATATATGATCTCTCCTTTACTGTCCTCATTAGCAAAAGATAGAGGACATTGTGTTTTAACTTTAACATTTGAGATTACCTTGTGCTCTTCCATTTTTAAAGAAAACTCAAATGATGACTTACAGCAGTGATTGGTATACTTTTTCTGTAAGACACCAGACAGCAAGTTTTGTTTGTTTGTTTGTTTGTTTGTTTAGCAGCTCTACTGTTGGAACTCCAAATCAGCCGCAGACCATCAGACATGGTTGTGTTTCCGTAAAACTTTATTTATAAAACCAAGTGGTAGGCTGGATTTGACTGGAGGGGCCAGAGTTTGCCAATCCTTGTTCTGTTAGGTGCATCTTAACCTCTGTTGTATTTTATTAGAACTATTTACATCTTTTGCGAGGCTAGGGATTTTGGTTTGCCTTTATCATTTTGCAGCTTAGCTCATTGCCAACCAATGATAGCAGTCAGTAAGCAGATGATGACTTCTTAGCTTGGCTGCCATTGGGAGAAAAAGGAGTAAAGAAAAGAGAAAAATGGAGCATTAGAGAGTAAGAGGAAATAAGTTAGAAGAACGATGAGAGAGGAGAAAGAGAAGTGTCACAACCTTGAGATAGTAGGAGCCTTGCCCATGTATTGGGGGCCAGATGGGCAGCTATGAAATGTGCTGATTTAGTTGAGGCTCATTTTATCTGTCGGCTTGCAAAACCAATAACCTTACATGGCCTAAAAGATAAAAAGGGTTTTTTCGTTTTTTTGTGGGGTTTTTTTTTAAGTATCTTTTTTTGGGGTTGGTAAGATTTAATACATAGAGTGATAGTGAAATGTTAAAGTTGCTTCTTAGCATGTTGATGCTCTGGAAATTGTTCTAACACTCAGAACATCAAAGTCCCCACCTGCCGAGCGATCTGTCATCCTTGGAGCATTCAGAAGTTGAAGAAAATATATCGAAGGAAAACGTGTCTAAGGTACTATTTATTGTTGGTTATTCATCTGATTTTCCAGAGTTTATATTATATTTGCATCATGTGCTTACTCCTCCTTAGAGGATAATGGGGCATCATTTGCTTTTTTTTCCTTTGGAGACTGTAGACCAAGAATCCTTGATGGAAACTCCTAGCTTCAAACATAAACTGCAAAGCTTGGAAGACGGAGGTGAGAAAATACTCAGTCTTTGCAGAATAAAGCAAAATGAATTTGCTTTTGGTGGGCTGGGTGTTATTCCAATCACAACAGATAAAAAAATGACTTTACAGACTGATACCAGGTGTTGGAGAGAGCAGTTCAGATCTGCTTACCCTCCCTAGAAGTGCATGAAGGTCAAGGGCAGTGGAAGGACCCTAGGTTCACTCAGAAACAAGAGTGCCTTGTTTCAAGAAACATGGCCTGGGACCAGCTGCCTCCTCTCTGGCTTCAAACGGAGGGCCAGTGGGCTCAGTGGAGGCACCTTCCTAAGGATCTGGTCCAGGGGCTCTTTCTATTCCTGACTAAGTAGGTCACTTGCAGTTTATAAAGCTACCTTCTAAACAATGGTGTGGTCAAGAATGGAAACATCCAGTTCATTTTCTCCTGGTTACCGTGATAAGGAGGTTTTTTGTTTGTTTGTTTTTAAAGATTTTATTTACTTATTTGACAGACTGAGATCACAAGTAGGCAGAGAGGCAGGCAGAGAGGGAGAGAAGGAAGCAGGCTCCCCACTGAGCAGAGAGCCCTGATGCGACCCTGAGATCATGACCTGAGCTGAAGGCAGAGGCTTTAACCCACTGAACCACCCAGGCACCCCACCCCACCCCTTTTTTTTTTTTTTTAAAGATTTTATTTATTTAGGAGGTTTTCAAGCCAGTTTACAGGACTGTGATTGAGTAGAACACCTGACCCCTCTGTAGGGTGTCCCTGAACTGTTTGTTTTCTCTTTACATTTTAAATGGAAAATCGGGAAGATCGAAATAGCTGCAAGTCCTGTATATCAACATTTAGTGTATCAACACAAACATCTGTGAGCCAACATCCAGATTAAGAAATGAAAGACTGCTATTTCAGAATCCGGGTAGCTGCAACCCGAAATTCATCCCTGCTTCCCCCTTCACAGGGGCCCATTCGCCTTAATTTGGTGATTGATTGCACTGTTTTGCTTTTATTTTTTCACTCTCACATTGGGAGAAATATCATACCTTCCGGACAGCATGTCCAGTATGTGCGCAGTTTAAAGAACAATTATAAGGGGCGCCTGGGTGGCTCAGTGGGTTAAGGCCTCTGCCTTGGGCTGAGGTCATGATCCCAGAGTCCTGGGATCGAGCCCTGCATCACAGGGAGCCTGCTTCCTCCTCTCTCTCTGTGCCTACTTGTAATCTCTGTCTGTCAAATAAATAAATAAATCTTAACAACAACAAAAAAAATTATAAAGTAAACACCTATGTAACTACAGCCCAGTGTGAGAACTGGAATCCTGGGTCATGACCCTGTTACTTTCCTCCATCCCTTGGAGAGCTAATGATGGTCCTGATTTGCATGAAAAGCTTTCTGTTGCTTTTCTTTTCTTCTTTTTAAGACTTTTTTATTTTCAATTTTTTATTTGACAGACAAGAGATCACAAGTAGGCAGAGAGGCAGGCAGAGAGAGATGAGGAAGCAGGCTCCCTGCTGAGCAGAGAGCCCGATGTGGGGCTCGATCCCAGAACCCTGAGATCATGACTTGAGCAGAAGACAAAGGCTTTAACCCACTGAGCCCCTCAGGCGCCCCTGCTTTTCTTTATAATTCTTTTCTTTGTATGCATCCCTAAATAATATGCAGTTTAGTTTTATCTCATGTACTGTGCAAACAAATGACATCATACTGTGTAAACTGTGTGTGGCCTGCTTCTGCTCAAAATCATGTGTAAAATCTATTTACACTGATGGATCTAGGTGAAGTATATTTATTTTAATCACAGCATAATATTCAGTGATATGAATGACTATGTCTGTTCTCGTGCTGTGGGATATGTGGATTACTTGAAGTTTGGGTTGTTATAGATAATGCCACTATGCCGAATTATGTACATTTCTCCTGATACATACTCCAAAATGGTCTCTAGGTGTATTTTTAGGAATAGAATTGCTCAGCCACAGAGTTTATATGTCTTTACAGTTTGAGATGTGCGGAACTGTTTTTCCAAACTGGTTGTATCAATTCATTTTCCTACCAGCTGTGTATGAGTTCCTTACTTCACATTCTCCAACACTTGGGATTTTTGAATTTCTGTGTGTGTGCACACTGAAGTTTTGATTAAACATCCCTAATTAAGGTTAAACATCATTTTTATATGTTAGCCATTTGAATTTCCTCTTTTGTGTGTGCCTGAAATGTCTTGCCTAGGGGCGCCTGGGTAGCGTGGTTGGTTAAGTGTCTGCCTTTGTCTCAGGTCATGATCCCAGAGTCCTGGGATCGATCCCTGCTGGGGGTGGCGAGGTGTCCCTGCTCAGCGGGAAGCCTGCTTCTTCCTCTCCCTCTGCCTGCTGCTTTGCCTTCTTCTGCTCTATCTCTCTGTCAAATAAGTAAATAAATCTTTAAAAAGATGTCTTGCCCATTCGTCTGGAGGCTAGTCTCTTTATATCAGTCCTAGGAACTCTTCATATGTTCAGGACTTGTTTATATGTAACTGTATTCTTCCAGTGTGTGATTTGCACTTTTTCTCTGTAGGATGGTCTCACTGTAGGTTTTTATGGCTGCTTTTTGAATAAAGTTTGAGGGTGTTTATTTTTATTCAGTTTTTGGAAGTTTGAGAAAGATTGGTATAAATTCTTTGAATGTTTCATAGAATCCATTGATTCTATTTCCTTACATTGCTGGTCTAGTCAGATTTTCTATTCATGATTCAGTCTTAGTAGATTGTAGGTTTCTAAGAATTTACCCATTTCTTCTAGATTGCCAACTTTTTGGTACATAATCTTTCATAGTAGTCTCCTTTGTGTTTTTTGTGGTACCTATTGTAATGTCTCTTATTTCTGATTTTATTTGAGTCTTTTTCCCCTTAATTTAGCTAAAAGGTTGTCAACTTTATCTAAAAAACAAAACAAAACAAAAAAACAGCTCTTTTCACTGATTTTGTTTTTTCTGTTTTTCTGGTCTCTATCTCCTTTAATTCAATTTTTTTGTTTGTTTGTTTTTGTTTTCCTTTTGCTAAGGCTTAGTTTGGTCTTCTTTTTCCATTCGTAAGATGTAAGGTAAGGTGGTTTATTTGGATTTTTTTTCCCCTTAATGTAGGCACTATGGCTATAAATCTCTCTCAATACTACTTTTACTGAACTCCAAAGTTTCTGTAGATTTTTACCATTTTCAATTATGTCAAGATATTTTTTTATTTTCTTCTTTATTTCTTTGACCCAGATGTTGTTCAGGAGTGTGCTGTTTAATTTCCACATATTTGTGAATTTTTCCAGTTTCTTCCTGGAATTTCTAGTTTCATATCATTGTGTTCAGAAAAGATTCTTGGCATGATTTCAATCTTCTTTAAGTTTCCTGAGACTTGTTTTGTGACCCAACATGTGCATCCTCAAAAATGCACCATGTGTTCCATGTGTGTTTGAAAAGAATTAGTATTCTGTTGTTGGACAGAATGATCTGTAGATGTCTGTTATATCTATTTGCTGTAAAGTAAAATCAAGTCTAGTGTTTTCTTATTGATTTTTTTTTTTCCTGTCTGTATGATTTATCCATTGTTGATGGTATGGTATTGAGGTCTACTACAGTTTCTATTTGCATAAAATAATTTTTTTCCTTCTCTTTGAGCCTATGTTCATCCTTAAAAGTGAACTAAATCTCCTGTGGGTAGCATATAGTTAGGTCTTTTCTGTTTGTTTAATCCATTCAGCAACTTTATTCCTGTGGATTGAATAATTCAATGCAAAAAAATTGAGTATACTTGACACACAGTAGTTAGTTTTAGTTTTAGGCATACAACTTAGTGATTTGACAAGTTTATATATTACGCTATGTTCATATAAGTATAGCTACCATCTGTCCCCATGCTTAGCTCTTATGATATCACTGGCTATATTCTTTATGCTCTCTTTTTTATTCCTGTGACTTACTCATTCCATTGAGGTAACCTCTGAAAATGGTTCACTATTTGCTTGACCCAGAAAAGCCGGCAAAATCATGCAAATCAAGAGGTTCAAATCTTTGCATTCACTTTAAGAATACATGTGAAACTGCCCGGGCCCTCAAGGGTGTGCCTATTCAAAAAGCCACCAAGTATCTGAAAGTCATCACTTTGTAGAAGCAGTGTGTGCCATCCCCTCACTACAATGGTGGAATTGGTAGGTGTGCCCAGGCCAAACAGTGAGGCAGGATACAAGGCCAGTAGCCCAAGAAAAGTGCCGAATTTTTACTGCCCATGCTTAAAAATGCAGAGAGTAATGCTGGGCTTAAGTGTTCAGATGTAGATTCTCTGGTCATTGAGCATATCCAGGTGAACAAAGCCCCTGGGATGCAGCATAGAACTTACAGGGCTCATGGTTGGCTTAACCCATACATGAGCTCTTCCTGCCTTATTGGGATGATCCTTCCGGAAAAAGAGCAGATTGTTCCTAAACCAAAAGAGGAAGTTGCCAGAAGAAAAAGATATCCCAGAAGAAACTGAACAAACAAAACCTTATGGCCTGGAAGTAAATTCTACATAGAATAAATGTAAATAATAATAAAAAAAAACCTACATCAGTTTGTTCCCAGTATTTATAATTGAGTCTACTTTTTGTTCATTTTTTAAGATTCCATTTGTAAGTGGAATCATATGGCATTTGTCTTTTTCCATCTGACTTCTTTTGCTTAGCATAATACCCTGTAGGTCTTCTCACTCTTTGCAAATGGTTTGATACTTTATATGGAAAACCCAAAAGACTCCACTCCAAAACTGCTAGAATTCATACAGGAATTCAGTTAAGTGTCAGGATATAAAGTCAATGCACAGAAATCAGTTGCATTTCTATACACCAATAACAAGACAGAAGAAAGAGAAATTAAGGAGTTGATCCCATTACAATTGTACCCAAGACCATAAGATGTGTAGGAATAAATCTAACCCAAGAGGCAAAGAATCTATACTCAGAAAACTATGAAGTACTCATGAAAGAAATTGAAGACACACAAAAAAAATGGAAAAAATGTTCCATGCTCAT